TTGAGGGCAACGCCCCCGTGATCATAATGCACGCCACCCTTTGAACCTTGGTTAATCTGCTTTTGATTGTGAGTTTGTCTACGGATGGCCACCAGACCGTGTTGCCATAGAGTAGAATGGGACGCACCACTGCTGTGTACATCCAGTTCACGATGTGCGGCTTTAACTTTTTTCCTATTGCTGATTTACAGGCATAGAGGACAGTTATAGCCTTCTTGCAACGCTCTTCAACATTGCGTCGCCAAGTTAGCTTTCTGTCCAATACAACGCCCAGGTACCTAACTTCCTCCGAGAGGGCCAGGGTAACACCGCTCAGGGAAGGAAGTTGCACCTGGACGGTTTTATTTTTCTTTGTGAAAAGAACCATGACTGTTTTCCCTGGATTGACACCAAGGCCAGATTCCTTGGACCAGGTTTCCACAACGCGTAAGGCGCCTTGGACCAGATCACATAGAACTTGGGGGTGCTTACCTACCGCCGTCAGGGCCAGATTATCAGCGTAGGCAACTACCTGACAGCCCGTGCTCTGTAGCTGCTNGGGGGTGCTTACCTACCGCCATCAGGGCCAGATCATCAGCGTAGGCAACTACCTGACAGCCTGTGCTCTGTAGCTGCGACAGCAGAGTATTCACCGTTAGATTCCACAGGAGTGTGGAGAGGACACCGCCTTGCGGTGCCGCGGTTTGCATACCTTGTTACCGATACCTCTCCCATCTCCGAGTATATAGTTCTGCAGCCTAGAAGGCGATGAACAAATTCTACCAGAGGGTACTCCAGACCGAGGTTAGTTAGGGCGCGGAGAACAGCTTCTGGGAGAACATTATTGAAGGCACCCTCGATGTCAAGGAATACGCCTAATGCAGATTCCTTAAGCGCTAATGCCTTTTCAATGGTGCTCACAATACCATGCAAAGCTGTGTCTACAGACCTGCCTTTCCAATAGGCATGCTGACAGCTAGATAATTTACTTAAATCAATTTCTGTTCGGATCTTCACGTCCAGTTGTCTTTCCAGAACCTTCTGGAAGAAAGATGTAAGGCTAATCGGTCGAAAGTCGCTTGGCTTCACGTGGGATGGTCCGCCGCCCTTGGGAATGAACACAACCTTCGCCAGTGTCCATCCCTTGGGTATGAAGCTAAGTCTGAGAAAAGCCTTATAGATTGAAACAAGCATCGGACATAGAATGTCAGACGTCGACCGAAGTTCGGCAGGGAAGATGCCGTCCATGCCTGGAGATTTGTAGGGC